GGATGAAAAACTATGATAATAATATAATTTATTCACTGATAGTATCCAGGATTTCCACTGGAATAACTCAGACCTGAATTTGGTCCATCCAATTTCTGTGGGACAACACGATCAAGATCAGACAAAAATGAAAGAAATAAGATAGAGTCGGTAGAGTCTGTGAGAGAAATAAAAGGGATAGTTCAAGGAATTTTTTCCTTCTAAGTGTTAAGGCAGCATCACTGAAGTTAATGGGAGTTTTTCCAATGAACTTTGATAGGGAGAGGGTTTCTTCTTTTTTAAATGGCTAATGTTAGCTGCTTGTTCCCAAGACAGTTGTGGGTCAGACATCAGCCACTGTCCCCAGTGTTTTCCCAAAACCCTTCTACTTCACTTTAAGTTAAAAAATATATATACAACTTAAAATCAAACAAATTTGCAACTAACATTTTTGGGGCCAAACCTTCATATGGTGAAAAATAGAGCAATGGTGACTTTAAGAGAGCAATTCTGAATTGCACCAACTGAGGTTCTATCGGGCCTAGTACTTTTAAATTAAGATATTCCTTTCATTTGCAGTTGTGTGAATTAGGCTTAAATGCAGCATAAGACAGAACAGAATGTTGACAGTTTACATGCAGAGTAGTGAGGGCCTGTTTTGTTAACTTTACAAACCACAAGGAAGTCACAGGTTCTAGATGTAGAATATGACTTAGAAATTTTGACAAGTAAGTCCCATTTAGCTTTTTGAACAAACGGGAATGCTGAGACGATGCAACAATTTAAAGCAAATGTTTCCCCTGGTCTTCCTAGGAACTGGACAGTAATTACTTTCAATCAAGGATCTTTATCGTTTGCACAGCACAGTCTCCCAGTCAGCTAGAAATACATGTTCGTTTGTTTGTTTTTAAATTAAATTTCCCTTTCAAAGCAATGGTTTAAATTAAGAAAACAAATATTTACAAAACTTTAAAAAGTTGCACTAAATTCAGCACTTAAAACAAGTTCTAAAGGTTTTGTAAATCCATAAGCTCCATAGGGTTCTCTCACTCCTAATTATCCATGTTTGGATTTGCGTGTTCATTTCCTCCAGCTGAAATACACAGGATGAATTATTCATCCAATGCGTACAAGGTCGTGGAATTTAATTCCTTCCATTTATTTTTTAAGTGAATGTAGTGCTTGTAAAAAGTGCCAGCTTGACAGATGAGATTCAACCTTTCTGTTAACCTACACAATTCAGAATACAGTCAGCATCAATGAAATCTTCCTCTCATTGCCTCATCAAAACTAATCTCAAGAGCAATCCACTTTCCATGCCAGTTCAGCTTTTGGCATCTTTGTTGAAACTGCCCATGAGAAGGCCAACTTATGGTGATGGCATTTAAAGGAAAATCATGGCGAGACTGGAACTAGAATAAGACATTTAGAATAAGATGCATTTATTTAAAGCAAGGGTATAAAACTCATCTAGCCCTGTGAACCAGATGAAGGGCATGGGGTCAGTCCATGGGCTGGATTGGGTCTGCAGACTGATCTCATGCACCAGATCTAGCATTCAGGACCAGTCTGGTGCAGTGCCAGATGCAGCATGTGCCCTAGGCTGGCCCCACATGTTAGGTATGGCACACAGGGCCAGTCCAAGACCTGCAGGCAGAATGCAGGCCTTGTCTTTGATATCCCTGATTTAAAGAATTATTAGGTGATAACACAGTGGTTCTCAACCTTTTAGAATCAAGACACCCCTCATTAGACGCAAATCACCTCTTGTGAGACCAAAGGAAAATGACAGCTGTTTTCTCTTGTTTCTTGATCACAGAAAAATAATTGAGCAATTCTTCTGTTGCAAAGAATTCAGAAAGACCGCAGCAGGTCAGAATGTTTCTAACACTATGGATTTCTATTTGAAACCTCTGTGTGTATCTTGTGAACCATGACTAACATTGCATGGCATCCTGTGGCACACTTGAAAGGGTCTTAAGACACCCTGAGGTGCTGTGGCACCCTGGTTGAGAATCACTGTGATAACAGATTTCTGTCATTTCCAGGCAAGGACTCATTTGAATTGATATCCAAAAGGCAAAAGAGTCCATATTGACCAAAAACCATCACTGACATTTCACTCTAAATCTCAAAGCAATGTATTTGAGTATCTGGTTAATATTAAAACATACTGGGTGCATCTACATGTGCACCCCACTGTGCAGTACCTGCTGGTACTGTGCAGTCCCTGCAGCGCACAGGCCATTTCTGACCCTACTGTGCAGTAGCAATGAGTTACTGTGCAGTACTGGCAGCATCAAGGTTAGTGCCTGCTGATGCTAGGTCACCAGAGTGATAAACGACATCGCCACAGCTCATTGCTATGGTGATGTAGCGTCTTGTGTAGATGTACCCACTGAATTATAGTAGTTTGCATTCAAAAAAAGAGGGAGAAGCAAATAGTCTTAATTTGACAAATTATAAAACCAGGCTATATTTTTATAGTTTGTCTTTTAAAAATAAATACATATTCATTCAAATCTGATCTATTTTGTTAAATATCAACCTAGGTAAAATTCAATTCAAAACAATACACAAGTGGTTCCAATAATTAAAATAATTGGAGCTGCATTTTATTCATTGGAATGGAATCATACTAGGGAAGACCCTTACAAAGATAAATAGGAGTAGGTGGCTGTGTGTATGTTGACCTATCATGTTAGAAAATCATAGATTCTTTGCTGATGGCCAGATATGTTTCAACAGCTGGAGTATCAGACCAGGAAAAGCTTACTGACAGTTTTGCATGTGAGTGGTCTCAGTAGGTGCATTAATTAAATTTTCGGGGACTTGAACTGTGGAAAAGAATTGATCTTAGGTGCCTAAGTTGCTTTAGACACCTAATTGATGGAACAGTATCTGGTCCCAAATGACTCCATAGTATTTTAGGAATCCCAAGATCTTTTCATCAGAATCCAACCAGGGTGGTGCCAAGTACTGCAGCACTGTTATGGAATGTCGCACAAAGGGATCTGGTGTGTGGTAACCACATGGAGTCCAAACAACTGGGGACAGGTTTGGTTTAGAGGAATGAATGCTCAACTAGTTCCATTTAGTCACAAGTCCTGGCCTCCTATCAGAAAAATTCAGAGGAAACTCCACAAGGGGCCCTTCTAGATCTGTTTTCCTCCTAGATCTTTCTAGGGTTTTCTGAATTCTCTGTCCTATATTCACATTATGGCTGTGCGTTTTTGTGTTTTATCATCTGTATCTAAAAGCTCCCCTGCCTGTCTCATCCTGGTGTTATGAAACACTTTCAGTTACCATTAAAAGAACCACAGGAACTGCTCATCTGTGTTTCATGCTGTGCAGTAGAGTGCTTTATAATATCAGACCGGGCTAGGGAGTCTTCAAATAATGACAACCTATTAGGAGCTTTTAGACCAAGTATTATTATTTACCAGTAGATGCAGTAAAATAATCTTTCTCATTAAAATAAGTGTATTAATGTATAGTGCAGTTTTCCAAGGATTTTGATTATTGACTGTTGGTGAAAGCACAACAGTTCAGGTCTCAGGAAGAACTGTATGTCAGAAACACAAAGGGGAACATATAACTAGAGCTGAATTTCATATCACAGATTTGGATTTGGATAAAAAGGAAATTTCAATTTCACTTAAATATTTATAATTTTTGAACCCCCCCCAAACAATTGCTTTTCCTAATGTATAAATTGTATTAATAAGCCTGTTAGAGAGAGAAGGCCGGATTCTCCTCTTTTATACATTTACTTTTTATGCTGTATTGACATCAGTGGGGTTATTTCTTATTTTTATTAGTGAGTTATAAGAGAAAAATCTGTCACAGTAGAATTGTGCTGGTGTAGAACATGTCTATGTGAGATTATGATTTGGCCTATACAGTCAAGAAAGAACCACTGTGTGCGTGTGTGTGCGCGCGCGTGTGAGAGAGAGAGAGAGAGAGAGAGAGTG